GCTAAGCCACTAGAAAAGCTCATAACTTCTGAGGCCACATGGATTTCCCTTTGGTGACTTGTTCCAAGAGCTACTCTACTAGCTCCATTACCACGGCTCTGAGATCAGCATGGTATCAGCAAGATCAGAAGAGCACAAGGGAACTAGAGAAAGATGTGCTTTTGCTACAACATCAACATTTTGTCTTATAGGCAAAAATTGCAACCCAATGTGCAATTGAGATGCTTTTTTTGTTTTCCTGTTACCCTTAAACCATGCCTGGTCCATCTTGGTGAGGTACTGGAACAGGCTGCCCATGGAAGCAATGGAGTCACAATCCCTGGAGATATTCAGGATAGATGTGGCAATGAGTGACATGGTTTAGTGGGTGTTGTGAGGGGTTGATGGCTGGATAAGATGATCTTAGAGGTCTTTTCCAACCTTAATGATTCCATGATCTCCAGGTCTGCATTTCTTCAGCTAGTGATGAGCTGTTAATAACCAAGAACCTCCCGTGCCAGTCTCAGCCCCATCTTTTCTTATTCACATCTCCACTTCTCCAGTTCTCTGCTGTTATACCAGACCTGTTTTTCTCTACGTTATACCTTTGTGTCTGTGCCATAAATACCTCATGTATACAGAATAATGGATTGTTATTGCTATCTATAAAAGCCTACAGCTGCATCATACAAAGACAGATAAAAGTAGAACAAATTAGCCAAAGCCACCTGGTCAATTAGAAAAATTGCTCTTACAGCTCAGCCAAGTGAAACAAAGCCTCAGGCAGGTCAAGACAAACTCAGTTGGAGAAAACCTTGCAAACCTAAATCCTGAGGTCTCACAAACTCATTTAAAAGCTTATGGCCCATTACCAGCAATAGCAACACCAAATTAAGGTGCTAAGGGATACCAAACCCTCTTGTCTTAGAATCTAATGAGGGAAAAAATAGTCTGAGCAATTTGGTTTTATTTATTGTATTATGTATCCTGTTTAGTTTTTTCTTTTCTTTTCCAGTATACAGAAATGCACTTTAGAAAGCTGGATAAGAAGTGAAACTGCATCTGTCCAATATAGGATATTAATGATAAAGGGAGAAAAAGTGAGTACAAAACAGAAGAATAATAGCATTCTGCCATGTGCCTGGGTTAGGAGAAGCTAGGAAATGAGGCCAGACCTACAGGGCCCTATTCTTCATCTCTCATCCCCACCTTCAAGTCTTACCTCTAACAGGGCAACAAACAGGATTTGCTTTCAATGGGAGCCTGAGTGGGGAATTCTTTGTCCAAGTAGGAGACCAGGAGCTCCAGAATCCATTCTTTTATGTCCAGAAATGCACAGGAAGAGAAAGCAGTAGAGATTTAACCCTCCCATATTCTTCCTCTGATATAAGTAGGGTTTGCAGCACCAGGAATGAACTGCAGGGACTCTTTCTGCCTGAGAGAGAGCTTCCAAGAAGGAGATGTAAGCCCTGCTTACAACTGGTTGCAATAATTCCCACCTAACTCAAGAGTCCAGCTTAAAAAATAGATAGAAGAAATAACAGAGAATACCGATATAAAACAAAGAGCTTATTCACATAGAGGCAACTTCTGGGAAGGAATTAGAGAATTCCTCACCTGACTCACCTTAGTAGGTAAATGTCTTATGTGCAAGAGAAGGGAGAGTTGCACACATTCCACTGAGCTTGAAACACAACTTTTTTTTTTTTTTTTTTTTAAAGATATCAGCTACCTACTTCCCATCCCTCCTTTACAAGCCTGATGCACTACAGGCTAGCTAGAAGCTGCCTTGGCTTGCAGAGATATCGCATCATGCTTTTCTCAGGCTCATGGCAAGAGAAGGAATTTATAACCCCTTCTGCAGTTATTTAAAGGCTTATTTCTGAGGCAAACCGATCACTTGTAATTGCAGCCTAATCCAGGTTTGGATTAAGAATTGTAATTAAGTAATTTATTGGAATTCCTCATGCCCCAGCCTGCAGCAGCTCAGGATTAAGATTTGGAAAAGCTGTTCTCAGCACTTGGGATGGGCACAGTTAGACTGAGAAATTCCTGAGCCTGTGTTGTTCTTTTAAATAATGCATGTGCTTGACTGGCCAAGAATATGGCAATTATTTCTAAAAAGAAGCCATAGGACAAACCAGTCAGCATGTCATCTACTCGCTCCCTGTGGGATGCTAGTGATGGGCAGCTATCCCCCTCCTTCCAAAGCTGGGCACAGTGCCATGAGCTCTCCTTCCCACTGCACAAACTCGATATCCTAGAGTTTTATCTTTGCCTTGGCAGCCCTTCCTCTTCCCCTCATTAGACTGCCCTTCATTTTGTTACAAGGATCCAGTTTCTTGTAGGTCAACCATTCGCTTTCCTTTGCAGCCGCTCACCTTGGCACCAGCAGCACCACATTTACAAACACATGACATGGGCTAATGCCCATCCCAGTGGAGCTTATTTTACAGCCATATGAACTTGGCTAGACGGACACAGAGTACAACACGAAGCTCCCGAAGCACGTATTTTATTAATGCCAAAACACAGCTGTGATTTCCTCTTACTGAAGGGGGCTGGATAAGAAGTTATTCCATTTACTGCATTCTGAGGAAGAAGGCCTAAAGCCCAGCAGCGATGGCCTCGCTTAAATATTTTCCTATCATACTGACAAAAAATATTCCCCTTTAAAGTTTCTGTTCCATTTCTCCCATTTTTTTTTCTCCTCCAGTTTCGCAACATCAGGTCTCATGGGAAGAAGGTGGGGGAGAGAGAAGAACCCTCTGGCAACCCTTCATGTTTTTCTTCCTCACATCCCTGCAGGAATTTCCCACCTCTCACCAGTCTGCCAGCCTACAGCTGTTTTGTTTTCTCCTTAATCCGATGGCTCACCAGGGAGCAGGCACAGAGTGTAAGAAGCAGTCCAACAGAAAATACTCCTTGCTAAGGAGCTCTTATCACACCCACTTCCTTCTCTGCACCGATTACGATGGATCAGCCCAAAGGCTGTCTCTTTGAAGAGCCTACAGGTGAGCAAAGGCCATGTCATTAAGCAGATGAAAGAGAAGCTTATGCTAGAGACTTGGTCACTGAAGACATTCAAGGTCAGGCAGGACAGGGCTCTGAGCAACCTGATTTAATTGTGTGTGCATCCCTATTCATCGCAGAGGAGTTGGGCTAGATGGCTTTTAAAGGTCCCTTCCAACTCAAAAAATTTCATGGCTGCCCTTCTCAAGTCACATAATAAGTCCCTTCTCCCCCCAACACTACCTACCCTGCTGCCAGACCCAACAGAAAGCAAGAAGCAGCTCCAGGAAATGAATGAAAGGCTGATGCATGCTTTTTGTCAATGAGCATCAATAATCTGTTGGCTGTGCCTCAAGAGTTTGACTTATGCCCAGGAGAAAGCACTATGTGGGAAGGTTGCTGATAAGCAGCAGCCAGGACCAGTTGCTGCAAAGGGCGTCAACACACTTTCTGTTCCTATCTCTTCAGGCTGTTGATGCAGAATCATAGAACCAAAGAACAGCCCAAGGTGGAAGGGACTTATAAGGATCATCAAGTCCAGTGCCTGTCTCTACATAGGACTACCCAAAAATCAGCCCTGTTAGAGCCTCCAACTGCACAAAGAAACAGCATGGATCAGCATCAGTGGAGGGTCAGGCTGCATGTTAGGAAAAGACTATTCACCAGAAGGTGGTGGGCATGGAACAGGCCCCCATGGCAGTGGTCGTGACCCCAGACCTGCCAAAGTTCAGGGATTGTGTGGACAGTGCTCTCAGACATGGGGTTTGAGTTTTGTGTGGTCCTTTGTGGAGCCAGGGGTTGGATTCAACAGTCCTTGTAGTGTCCCACATTAGAAGGGACCTATGTGATTCTATGAAATTACTTCCCCTATGTAGCAGGAGAAGCATTGCTCTTACTCCTCAAAGCTATATGTTGAATTTTCTTACCACCTTCAGCCACAACATCCCACCTCATCCCAGACTGCTGAATGGTGGAACGAACAGCTTATAGAATCACAGAATTGTTTGAGTTTGAAGGGACCCTTTCAAGTCACCTAGTTCAACTCTCCAGCAAATGAACAGGGACACCTACAGAACAATCAGGGTGCCCAGAGCCTTATTCAGCCTGACCTTGAATGTCTCCATGGAGAGGTCATCCACCACCTCTCTGGGCAACCAAGCTTATTCAAGCTCATCAAGTTCAGCAGTCCCAAACTTAGGTTTGAATGACTCCATGCAACAGGGCAGGCTGGAAAGAAGCAGGTTAAGAGGGGGACCAAGGTCCTGCCTTCAGCTATTTAACATGGAGTGGATATAAAAAAAAAAAAGTCAGAGCAAAATGCTCGTCAAAGGCATGCTGAGAAAGGCCAAGTATCGGGTCATAAAATGCAAGAAGGGAAATTCCTACCAGACCTGAGAAGGAAAACAAACCAAGACCTTTGGCAAAGCAACACTTAAGCACTTGGGGAAATAGCAGAGAAAGATCTCTGAAAGATCTCAACTGGAAAAGGGCCAGAGCAACTCAAAGAAAGCTTGTCCTCATTGGAGCAGGAGGTGGTAATAGAGCCCTCAGAGATCTTCCCATCCTCAGCATTTCTGAGAATTCTGAGAAGAGGTAGATGCCAATGCAAGAGGAACTTCTTGCTACCTCCTTCCCATAGGTTTAACCTCAATGAGCAGCTACAGCATTGGTGCTGTCCTTCAGCGTCACACAATATGGGATATCCCAAGTCTGCAGACAACGAGGCTCTCTAGCCACCAAAGACTTTTACATTATGAAACAAAACCAGTCTTGAGCCTGTACCTGTACCAGCATGAGCAGGCAGCATTGTTCCTGGTAAATCTGGCCTGAGGTCTCCCTCCCAACCAATAACAAGAGCAAGGCTTCTGTGAAAACTGTGAAAAGCACATTAGCAACCCGGAAATTTACACGGGAGAGTATCACTTCTGGTTTTGCTGAAAACCAGATCTTCCTCTCCACTTTTTTTTTTTTTTTTTAAAGAGGGGAGGGAAAAAAATTGTGATCACAAAGAAAAATGAAGTTACCAAGCACCTTAGTCACCAGCTTCAGGTTTTTAGGTGCCTACAGAAAAGTCACCTCACTGGAAAAACTGAATTGAAAGCACCCCTGAAAGGGCCAAGGAAAGTAAGGTTCAGCTGAACATGAGTCACCCAATGGTGACTGCTCTTATGGATGTCTGTGATGGAGGCACATTCCTGCTCTACAGGAGCAGTGGAAAATCCCTTGCAACTTAGAAATTAGACCAATCACCACACTTTGCCATTGTGATGTCAATGGTGAGAAATCATACCAGAGGGAAATTTTTCACTGAAAGGGTGGTGAGGTGCTGGCAAACACCCTAGAGTTATTCATGGCCAGACTGAATGGAGCCATGAGCAATATAATCAAGTGGATGGCAACACTGCCCAGAGCTGGAGGGGGCTGGAACTTGGTCTTTGAGATTCCTTCCAACCCGAGCCATCCTATGATTCTATGAAACCCACCTTCCCCAATTTCTGGGTTGCTTGATTATGGCCACCGGCCAAAAGGACGCTCCTCAGACTTGACACCTTTTCTCCTTAAAGCTCAGCTAGTTCCAAGGTATTGCATTGCTCAACCCAGTAGTTGATACCTAGCCAAACACATGATTTCCCCACCTTGCTTTTGCTCTATTGAATCTTTTTTTTTTTTTTTTTTGGACAGAACTTGACAAGCCCTACATGTAAATGCAACACAGGTTAACACCCTCCTAGGAAAAAAAAAAAATGTAGATGCTTTATTTAAGCTCCTACATTACAACCAGTAACTGTTTCTCTGACACTGGCAGCTCTTCACAATCCTGATGTCCAGAGCATCTGAGCATGGCCAAGAAGCCCTTCAATACTATATATAGCCCACATGCAGCTGCTCTTATTAAAACAGTTCCTTGTGAGAAACATTCACTGTGCTTATCCGTTTGCATCTTGTTTCTTTATTCTGCAATAAAAAGAGTATTCCTCCCCACCCCCCTGGGATTCCCCTGGAGTTACCCCCTTATTTGGGGTGGAACAAACTTCCAATAAATCTTTAAAGAAAAAAAAAAACACTCTTTTTAAAGCCAGGAAATATTTGTTAGTAGGTAAATAACTCAATGCACTGGAGCCAAACTGAGTCTTTTGTGCTTGCAGGTACAAATTCAACATAGGGGTCAAGGCATGCTTGGCAGCTTCACTGATAGCTGGTCTAGCTTTGCCAGGAAAATAAGGCCCCTCTCACTTTTGCCACCATTCAAATCCCTGTTTGAGAATTCAGTTGCCTCACTTAAGCTCTATATAAGCTCCCACAGCTTGGACAGACAGCACTGTTACATCTCAGCTAAGTCATGGAGCACTATTACACACATCATCCCACACCAGTACAGATGCAAGATAAAACTGCATTGGGTTTGCTCATGCATTTCTCCTCATGCCTGAGGCATAGAGGCCCTTAGGAACCAACCACAAATGGTTTGAGATCTGCCAGGAGGTTCTTCACTTGAAGGCAAAGGATTTAATAGCAATTTCTGCAGGCAACTGAGCACATATACACACCCCCATTGTAGAGCCTGAGCACAAAGCTGGAGCATCAGCTCTCAGCAGAACCACATCCAGTTCAAGCTGCAAAAAAGCCCCTGGCTTCCAATCAGGCATTCAGAAAAATCACTTCCAGTTGTAATAGCTTCCAACTGAAATAGCAATTTAAACACAAGAACATGTGGCTGTAAACAAACCCATTACATGCACCAACTACAGCAGCTTCAACGTCAGCACTGAGTTATAAGGTTTTGCTGTTGATGCAACTTGAGGTTCACTGACAACTAGGCTAACTGTACAAGCAAATATCACTTTTTTCCTTTCTCTGAAAAGCAGCCAACTGTGCAAGCACCTGCAATTGGTCTGTGCCTTCTCCATGTCCACTGGAAGAATGCAGGCTGCTGATTGCTACCACTTCCCAGTACATCTGCATCCCACCATAGTCTCACAGCCAGCATTACACTTTCCCAGCGTGAAGTCAGTAGCTGGAGAGCTTATTTCTGGACCAAAATGAGATCTGTTCTCACAAACCAAAGGCTTGATCATGTAGAGGTGGAGTATATCTCACTCATTTTCAGCATTCTACCATTAAACTCACTTTCTGACCCAGCATCTTCCCATCCCTCCTTCTCAAGGATGCAGCTGCTCCTTCAATGATATTGGCTCCCTCCTAAAGTGTTTCCAATTTGATTATATTTGTGCAATTGCAGTTTTGTCAAATCCCAAGAATGAAAAAGCACAAAAGACCCTGAGATTTTTTTTTTTTCCCTTTATTCCAGTGCATCCCCTGACCTAAGCCCAGGTCTTACACTGCAGCTGCCTGTTTCAGCACATCACTGCCTCATGTTTCCGCATCAGGATAATTCAGAGCACCTAAGAACCACAGCACTTCTCCACAAGGAGATAGGATTAACTGTGTAATCTTATTTATTGGCACAGTTAAGGCTCTCAATCTTCTTCCAAGATTCTGGACGAGGAGGAAGGAAGAAGATATCCAAAGTACCTGGCAGCTCTAGAGAGGAATTAAAAGTTCACATTTAAGTTGCACTCCGAATGAGTGTCACAAGTCAGTAGTATTTGCTTTCAACACTTGGTTTCTAATTTTTTTTTTTTTAATACAGAAACCAGCATGAAACACCTACAGACTTGTGTTAGACAACCATCCCACCTCTATAACAACTGCAGCAGCACATAAAAAAGTTATTAAACAGCACCAGATGAGCATGAGGCTAACAGGAAAGGTGCTTCCTCAGAACTCAAAGTCCTCATCAGTCATGTCGATTGCCCAGGCAAACTTCTCCCTCTGTGTCTTGTTGAAGATCTTCTCAATGGGCACACCAAACTTCTTACACCTGTATGGAGACCACAACACAATGGGGAGACATCCCAAAGGATGCACTACCCATCCCAATTGGCTCCCACCATAGTCTTCCACGTTCACTTGTGCAATCTCCTTAAGCCCCCACAGGAAATCACTTTTGTACCTTGCCTCTGTTGATAAACGTGCAAATTGGCCCTTCTGGTTTTAAGGCAAATGTCATCATCTGCAAGCAAGGGAAGTTGCAGTTTTGGGCTTTGTTGATGGTTGGATGATCCTAGGAAGTTTTTCCCCCAACCTTAATGATTCTGTGAGCAACTCCAGAGCTTGGACAGGTTTCACTGACCAAACACCAAGATTTTCCCCAAAGGCTCAAACATGTGCTTATTCCCCAAAAGCAGGCAATCTGCACATCTCTAGAGAAACATCTTCCCCAGAGCACGCTCAAAGCTTACCAGGCTATGCTAATCCTGGGATCCAGGTAATTCAGCTTGGACGTGCCCAGAGCTATCTGTTTGTTCTCCTCCTTGTCTGTAGCCTGGACATTCAGCTTGGCCAGCTGCTCCTTCAGACGTTCCAACAGCTTCTTTTTCTTTTGCACATTGCTGAGGGTAGAGCAAGAGCAACACAGAGAGCAGGTTAAAAGGGGAAAAGCAGCAAAAGTGAAATACAGAGCAGTTCTCCTGTTTTTATGCTTTTTAGGAAAATGATAGAAAGCCAACGAGCTTCGTCTCAGTGATCTCTTCACCCACTGAGTCTAGAAATAGCTCTAGAATGGAATGGCAAAGATTTAGTACCAGCCTATCAGAGAAAAACAGAATCACTAAGATTGGAAAAGACCTCCAAGATCATCAAGTCCAACCATCACCACCATGCCCACTCATAGAATAATTACTTGAGAAATAAGATTGATTTCTTTTTTAAATATTTCTGTACAAAGATCGGGCAGGTAGCAGACAGACTCCATGTGCAAATACAATCTCAGACAGCCACACTTGGGCTCCAGGAGGAGTAAATTCAGACAAGACCCATGCTATGACTGCTGCATAGATTTGATATGCCACAGGTCCACAGGAAAACACATATCACGACCACTCTCTATGCATACTCAGCTTCAACCCCAAGTTAGGCATCCTATGCACCACAGCATTTGTAGGATGACCCAGCAGTTTGCATTAAGTCTAAATATTCATAGAAATGTGCCCTACTATAAAAGAAATGAATCTCTACAAGGAATTATTTGGCAGTCCTACTGCTGCAGAGAACCATCCACAAAGATCTTCATCCATCTGCCAGGCTCCCATGGGAAAGGAGGTGCTCAGAAACTATTTCAGTTCTAATTAGCTGCATATAGGGTATTGGACAACATTCCCACCCACAGATCTGGGCACAGGTCCCCCTGCTAACAAGAATTGAAAAGAATCACTCACGCCTCTGCTTTAGCATCTTTTTTGTCTTTTAACTCATCTTCAGCTTCTTCCAGCTCTTGTTGGGCTTTTTCCAGCTTTTCCTTCGTGGCATCAATCTGAAATAAATAGAGTGAGTCCATGCTCATGTCCCTAGACATGAAAATATAGAAAAATAGAGATTTCAGCTACCCTTACCACACCACATTGCTCCTCAATTTCTCATCAGCCCCACTGCAGCCCCCAGAAACAGCCCTGAGACTCATGCGAGAGCTCACATTACTGATGTCAGAAACACTTGCACCACTTATTCATCTTATGCAACTGACCAAGGCTGTCTGGCTCATAACAGCTCACTGGTAGACTGAACAAAAGAGCTGAGGACAACTACAAAAATCATAGTTTGTAGCAGTTCTATAGCAGACCCGTTAAAATTTCAGCTGGTTCTCCTGCAAGCCACCAAACTGTAAAACTTATTTCCAGGGTCCTAAGCCATGCACCCAGTTTGGTCTGAAGACAACAAGTAATTAAAGAAAACAAGCATTCATGCCATGTGTAATTATCCCATCCCTATCCCCCTAGATTGCTGGTATCTCTGCACTAATTAAGAAACCTTCTATATCTGATTCATTCCTAAATAGAATCATTAAGACTATAAAAGATTACCCAGTCCAACTATCAACCCATCAGCATCAATGTCCACTAAACCACTTCATCACTCAATGCTACCAAATTCCTTGCCATGCTTGCTCTATGCAGCCTCTTCAAGGATCATGTTTTTCACACTTCTTTTTCCCCCATTCAAGAGATATAGATGTGGTGGGAGCAAACCTGAGGACTCTTAGTTTGGTCTGCCTCACCTTGGTTTGCAGATTTTGCATTGACTTCTCAAAGGTTTTGGGCGTGGATCTCTGATGGTTGCACAGGATGGCCACAGCTCGGTTTGCTCGGTTGTAGGAGAGAAGCTTTCCAGCAACACTGTCTTCAGCTGGAAATGAAGTGCAGCATCACTATTTGTTTCCTTTCTGAGAATTGGGGAAGGCAAAGAACAGACCAGAACATCAAGTTGTTGGCCTTTGCCATAGGAAAGCAATAATGGTGGTCCTTTACCAATTTCTACAACCAAGTGATCACATCTCATTACTTGAAGGCAGGACAGAAGTAATACAACCAACCAACGATGCCAAGAAGGGAAAAATCTACTCTCATCTTGGCTGTCAGACTACCATTGAGCAGGTGATTTGATTTTGCCACTTTGTATGGCTCCCAACCTGCTGCACATGCCCATAAACTACATACCACTCTACAACATTATGCATGACCAGCCAAGAAGCTGGTCAAGAGTGGACAGTGGGGACACCAAGACAGTGGATGAATATCTGAGCCCTCTGCCCCTACAACACAGCTGGAGTCACCACAAACATGATTAAGAACTAACGGTTAGTGAGGGCCTTGAGCTGCTCCTGCAAGGTGATGGAAGCATTGTAGGTCCTGAACACTTTGGCAGTCAAACCATTCATCAGCTTCTGAAGGTGTTTGTTCAAGATGACTGTCTGGAAGGCCAGTGCAGGACAACACAGAGAGGAAAAAAAAGGAGAAAGAACAAGCAGATGTCAAAACAATAATTTTTTTTTTTTTTTCCAGACCATTATCTTCTGCTTAAACAAACCAATTAAACAGATAAGCTATATCTTGCATATTTACCTATTGGCTCACACCCTAATGAAAACTAGGAGAAACATTACTAAAATTCAGAGAACCTCTGAAATTCAATAGCTTCTGCCCACAGATATCCAAGAAGCCACATCTCACACTGAGTATCTCTCACACAAATTGCATTTAATACCTTTGTTCAAAAGAGCACATGGGGCTAAAATCAGACCAGAAGATACGAAAGGCCTATCATGGATAAAGTTGATCCAGGCAGAGAAGATCAATTTCTCACCTCTATAAAGTTGGGCTACAGGCTTTGTAAGGCATGTGGGCAGAAGGGGAACATGGGGGGAAGCAGTCCATATCACACGCTGAAGAGGAGGTAAGAGGTTTTACCAAGGGGATAGCTTGGGAAAAGGCTGCAGCACATCCATCCAGCATGCTCTCACATTTCCACTGAGCCCCAGTTAGGTGTGGAAGTGCCAAACAGGTGAGGTTTTGACACCTCCAACAATGCCCTGGGCAGTATGTGGATGGGCAGTTCCTCCCAGACAGATCAGTTAGGAGCAGAAAACCACTTCCTTAAGCAGGGACATGCATTACTTATGGATGCATGCAGACAGCTAGGCCTGTATTTGGGAAATTAGAGATATCACCAGTGGAGGAAAGAATGGGAAGAGAAATAGAATCATAATTGAGATGCTGAAATTTTGGGTTCAACAAGGGGTTCAAAAGTAGAGATGCAAAAACTTACAGAGAGCCTATCAAAGAGGTCATCACCCGGGTCTTTGTTCTTCATGAATAGCTGCAGGTTCTTGAACACCTAGAAGGAGAATAAAGGATGGCCCTGGTCAAGGACAATGAGCAAAGTGATCCCAGACAATTCCCTCATCTCCATCAGCCTTCCCAGCCAGCAACACTCTGATTTGGACTTGCAGAATATCAAACCAAGTCACTCACTGAATTTCAAGGACTTCCATTGGGACCTCAAGACAACATTAGTGCCACAAACTGTTTTCTCCATCACCCCTACCACTAGCATTCCATCATCCCCCACAAACAGCATCACCTACCCCATGGGCACACTAACAAACAACAGGGACAGCTTGTAAGTCTTAATTCCCAGTATTCAACTGGGGATGCTTCAGCAGGTAGTGTTACTTCCCTCATAGATCATGGGCTGAAATGGCCTTGAAAGCCCTAATGCAAAGTTCCCCCCCCTTTTTGAAGGCCAGGAGTCAACACGCATGTTCTTACTGCACTGTACCCTTACATTAGTGGTAGGGGGACAGCACGACTAGACAATCTAAGATAGAATCATAGGATCATTAAGCTTAAAAGACTTCTGTCTCTTGCACATAATGTCAGTAATGGGGTCAAAACAGTTTTCAGATACAGATTTGGGACTGATGACTATTAAATGAGCCAAGCCACTCAGTCAAACTTGCGCCACGTTGCCACACTGGCCATGATGTCCATCTCTGCCACACTTACTGGCTTTTCCACAGACACTTTGTTGTAATAGCGGATAGAGTCTTTCCCAAGGAAGTCAAACTCCACCACATGCTCCTGCCCATCCAGCTTCGAGTGCAGCTTGATGTGCTCCACACGTAGGGAACAGCAGCCAACTGTGTCTGCTGTCTCCCCTTCTTCTTTCTCATTACCAGCTCTCAGGGCCAGCTGAAAGGACACACAAAGCCATAAATCAACCGCTCCAGCCCACCAGAATTCTTCTTGAAAAGGTGAAGTAGACAAGGAAAAAGAAAAACGTGGAGCTAGTAATGTCCATCAGTCATGGTCAGAGGTGGATCAGGTAAGCTAATGCCAGCCTCAAAAGTAGCAAAGAAGCAAGGGTACCTTATCAATGAAGTAGAGGGCCACTGCTCTTTGTCGCTTCTTCATCTCCTTGGACTTCCAGTCAGCCTGGTACTGAGCACGGATTTTGTGGACAACATCCTTTAGCCTCCGGGCTACTTCAAACTTCTGCCAGTCCTTTTCCCCCTGGAAAGAGAAGCCAATGCATTGTCACTCAGCACCCCATCTTACTTCCATCCCCTCCAGCTAGACTGTTCTGGGAACACAACTACCAGTCTAAATACTCAGAATCCAGTGCTTTCTCTAGGAAATAATACATGAAATGCAGGAAAAAAAAAAAAAAAGAAACAGAAACAACTGGGGTTTTGATGCCCTCTGCTGGCTGCGCTGGACCCAGGATCTCCACAAAATCTGAGCTGCTCATTGCCTGGATGGATCTTCTGCCAGCTTGTGGCCAGCATAAGACAAGCAAGGAGTCAACTGTTACAGCACCGCACAGCTATAGCCACCGATTTTCACACACCATTAGTGTGGAATGACACACAGCGCAGGTATTCAGCTGTGCCCCACTTGCATGCACTTTCCTTACTTGCTTTGAAGAATGGAAATAGCTTTAAATCACCTTTCTCTCCTCTGTTCATTTCCCTCCCTCCCACAGTACTACAGATGGCCATCCCACCTCCTCCTGTCTTCCATTTGCTGGCACAATGAACCAAACCCCACGGACTCTAGCTCCCTGTGGATCTTCTCAGTGCAAGTCCAGCTCTCAGCAGCCTTACCAGGATGCACGTGAGCAGCATGGCACAAGGACAGCTCTACCAGTAGCAATCTGTCCCTAAAAAAAAACTCAATGCTCAACAAAAACACCTTTTTCCCTCTCCCCCAACCACAACCAAGGGTATCCCAACTAATCTAGTTTTCTGTCTTTTTCCTCAAAAAGTACATTTTTGTTGGCATGCAACATCATTCTATGATCTTCTCCCCTACAACCTTTCTTCTCAGAAAGAGAGGAGTGACAATAGAGCTCCTCACAAAGAGCAGCATCTCACTGACCTTCAGCTTGGAGCTGGGGTTCAGCATGATGTACTTTAAGGAGTTCTGGATATTTTCAGTCCATGAGGCCAGCCAAGTGACTGTGTTGTCAGAGCGTACTTCCTTCCATTTATGCCCCACTGGTGGCTCAGGGATCTTGGAGTCCCTGTGGATAGAAGAAGGATACAACCATTGGTTATATCAGATGATCTTAGAGGTGTTTTTTTTTTTTCTCAACATGATTCTATGATTTGAGAGATCACAAAGGAGAAGAAACAGGTTGGCACCCCAATCATTCCTTCACAGCATTGCATCATTGCTTACAGAAAACAGCCTGCTCAAAATTACTCCACAACGCTATCAGTCTTTACCCTTTGGATGCAAGGGATAACAGGAGAACTAACACATTTCCCACTTAGAGGAAACGTGTTGTTTACCCCATCCCCAAGAGTTCATCTCTTATCTCAGCAACTCACTTGCTACAGTTGATGATCACATCTTCTGGCATAATCCTCTTCTTCAGCATACCCATTTTGGGGTGATCACCACGTCCACGGAACAGCCCTGGAGGCTCGGTTTTGAAGTTGCCTATCTTCTCCCTGTGCCCATCAAGGATGCAGTATCCATACTCTTCCTGGATCCTATCTGCCTCCTCCTTCAGTTTCTGAAACAAACACCATGCCACCCCATAAGACATAGCTGAAACCCTACGACTTCTGCTTGCTCACTGTTTTCTCCCTAGTGGAAACAAGGCAGTAAAAAGAGCTCAAAAGGTTGGAGAAAAATCGATCAAAGGTCCAAGTTTTCTTCATACACATCATCCTCATGCACCTTGCAAACCCATATGGCAATGCAGTCCCAGCATGAAATGCTAATGAAACAAAGGTCCACCATCTTCTGGACAGAGCAGAACCTCAAACCATGGACTGGGGACGACTGATACCTTTCAAAGCCAGGAAATGTGCACTATTTGCAGAAAAACTTAGTGAAGAAGGATGTGATGGATGTAGTCCAAATGCCAAAAAGGGCCCAGATCAGGTCATAACCCACAAGGATGGGAGGCAAGAAAGAACTGAAACACCCCAAGCTGCTCCCAAAGCATATCAGTCAGTTCCAGATATCATAGGAAACAGTTCTCACCTGCTTCTCCTCTTTGGAGAGTGCTTTCCGTGCCTCATTTTTGTCTACAAAGTACTTATGAATCTCCCTGAAGTCACACTTGTCCAACTGCTTGATTATCTCTTGTTCCTGAGGTGTCATCTCCTGTGGAAGAAATGAAGAGGGCTGAGTATGGCACAGAGGGACATGGTGTAGTGGGCATGGTGGTGATGAGTCAGCAATTAAACTAGATGTGGTCTTTTCCAGCCGTAAAATAATTAATCTAGGTGGCAAAAACAACTCTATAGTTGCTTTTTGGCTGTGTTTCACCTCTGGAGAAAAGGAAATAAAGATCCTCACACCAGTTCATAAAAAAAAAAAAAAAAAGGCAGAGGGATGCAGCCAACCCAGATATTTTAGCTACATCCACCCAAGGGTAGATAAAGCTGTACCAGCAAGTGGCCAGGCTGCTCTGGACCCACAATGAAACAAAACACAACCAGCTATGGAATGGAGCAGACTTAAAGCTCTACTACAGAAAGAAGGGGCTCTAAGAGCTCACACAGATGGCACAGTCTACAGAAGTTGCACTGAAGGGTGGGATATGCACTAGGAAGTGTCTCATTTGTGCATAAGGAATTTGCTATAGCACTGCAGGACCAGTTAATCTTTGAGAAGGATGAATGCCCCAGCGAAAATCTAGGGTCTATTTTGAGATAATATCACTAAAACTAGTCCTAACTTGAGGAACTCAGGGATGCTGTAGACAGCAAACCATGACCCATGCCTAAATAAATATGGAAATAAGAAGATACATCCCCCAAAAGCATCCCCTCCTTCCCATACGATGGTCTAAGGTCTTAACACTGGGTTTTAATGCAGAGGATTGACAGCAAGGAAATCACAATACACAAGGTACCTTCCTCCAGTCATTAAAAAAGTTGTTCTGGAAGATCTCTTTAGTTGTGTACTCATGATCAAGCATTTTTGCATAGAAAGTGGCAATTTCCTCCGTGGCCAGGCTCAGCTTCAGGGGTTTACCTAGAAAGGGAAAGGAGCATTAGCATTGGTTATAGGGACATCTCAATTCAGCAGTCTTAGGAGGCTGCTTGGTTGGTCCTCATGTTCAGCACAGTGCCCAGAGCAAGGACAAAGGCAGAAAATGGACACTGGCAGCCCATACACAGCTTTGCCTGTGGATCAACACTGAGCACAGCAGGATGCTGCCACAACCAATTTGAAATCACACACTACATATTCTTTTCCAGGAGAGTAGAGATCCTGAATTACACCAAGCTCACTGAGCCACAGCAGACTCTGAGCAATGAATTATAGAATCACTGCAGTTAAAGAAAAGACCTCTAAAATCATCAAGTCCAACTATAAATCCATCGACACCGTGACCACATCGCATCCCTCAACGATGTTGCTCAGTTCCAAACTCTTGGCTTAACAGGACAACATAGAAAGGTTTGTTTTCCCAACCATGATCAGTTCCAGGTGCATGCTGAATAGCCAAGATACCACTCAGAAGTTTCACATCAAATCATTTCCCACAAGACATGGGATGAAACAATCAACGTGGAAGTTCCACAAGTCATTCTGTGGAGGTGGTAAAAGTCACCAGCCTCTCTGGATCAATGAGCTCAGGAAACATCTTCGCTCCTGCTAGAAAGCAAACACTTTAAAAATAGCTTTTCTAGACAAGCCACAGAAAAAAGCTCCTTTCAGAGACCCAGGGATGGTTCAATTCTGCACTGGATGCTGATTTTGGGGTGTTGACTCCCACCTGAACTGCAGCAACAATGACAGCACCCTCCCAGATCCCAAACTAAAGAACCAGCCCTGATGGACACCACACAAATGGGTCTGCAAGAGCACAGAGGGGATCCAAACCCTATGCAGAACTACAAATAGCTGCCTCACATAGCAAAAAAAGTCACTGGCAATCCCATCAATGTCCTAGCATGCCCTCTACTGACCGAATTGCCACATATCACATTTACTCATATTGGCTTTTTATTCCCTCCTGTTACAAAGAGCTATAAGGAAAAGGAAGCCTCAGTGAGAAGCTGAGGACCAAGGCTCCATGGGACTGATCTCCTCCCAACTCAATTATCCCTTAATTGGAACAGACTGCTCAGGGTGGTGGTAGAATCTCTGTCTCTGGAGGTGTTCAAGAAACATGGAGATAGGGCACTGAGGGACATGGTTAGTAGGGAAAATTGGTTATAGGTTGACAGACTTGATGTTCTTAGAAGCTTCTTTTGCAGCCTTAACGATTCCATGATTCTTGCTTCCACCCTTCAATTCAGAGGGAAGGAATCAGGGATGGAGAACGGGGAGAAAGAGTTCAGCAAACGCAGAATAAACCAAAAGAGGACAGCAGAAGCCTGCATCCACCCCCTCCTGGTCCACCTTTGCAAAGTTAGACAGAATCTTAAGGTATAATGGCATTGATATGCATTGCATCACTTTGAGATACAGGGGCCAGCCCTGAGCATCCCACAGCCAAAAAAAAAAGCTGTAAGCAGAGGACCAAGTCCCAGCCATAGAATAGGTGAGGTTTACTCCAAGGGGGTATTATGGCCCTTTTAATAAGTGCTCTGCAGCCTCTCCTGTGTAAGAGGAAATACCAGCTTCCTGGCCATGCAGAAGACAACACCACATGCCCACTCCCAGGGTGAACCTACCATCATAATAAAATTGCACATCATCAGGCAGAGGCTCATAGAGAGGGACAAAGTAGGGTCCTTTGTGCTCCAGCTGTTTCCACTTCACCCCATCATTTGTCTTCTCCTCTTCCCACCTGGGATAAAAGCACATAGATCCATGAGATCAACCCTACCTCAGTGTCTGGGATCTTCTCCTGAGCAGTACCACAACATTTAAGTGAAATTCCATCACTCCAGACACTGCCTCAGTTTCCCCATTCTTCCAAACATGGAAAATAACGATCCACCCAAGGGAAAAACATTCTGGAGGAGGCAGAATGACCCAATGAGACATATTCAGTGGGATATGAAAGAACTGAGGGAGGGAGAGCAAAAGGACAGAACCATCAACCAAACCCCTGGGGACAGCCACCAAGATGCCACCCCGAGCTACAAAAGATTCTCACTTTGCACCAAAGATGCAAGGGTTAAAGCGGATAGGACACCCAGTCCTGTCCATTAAAAAGCACAAAAACAAAAGGGATTGTGTTCATCCCACCATCCCATACCGCCTACGGTGTGACCTTAATGCAAATAGGATCTTAACACACCACTCCCCCACCCCTGCGTGGCAAATAGGATTTTAAAGTGACTGCAAGTTGCAGCTGTAAAATAAGGATGAAAGTTAGATAGTTTAAAAAAGACCCGCCCTGAAAAAAAAGAAACATTCATAAATATTTTAAACAGAATATTTAAAAAGATAACTGGGTAAAGAGGAAGAAGAGGCAGGCAATGCACGGAGACGAGCAGGGGATCTGCACCCCATGACTCTGTACGTACAGAACACC